AGGCGCAACTTGTTCAATAGCTATGTTAAGAAAATATCACACATAGATTTATTTCACTTTTGTTTTTGGACAGTGGATGCTCAAGAGAAGTTCTTGTTCAGCCAAAGGCGTGCAAGCACCTATGTTTGTATGTGTAAATTATGCATGCATAGCTACATCAAAATATGTATATATGTATTGTTATTCACTTCTCTGGATTTGGCTGGCCAAGAAATAAATTTGGTTAGTTTTCTAGCGCTGATCATGCACGACCTATCCCAAATTTGTATTCACATATGAATGCATTAAATGCAATTTTGAATGAAGCGTCTTCACGACGTAGACGTAAGCATGGTGCTAGGTCCTCTGACATAAAGTTGATTTGAGATCCAGAATATAAAAGAGGTTCTGAGTATTGGAAGTGTAGAAATCTATATTACTTTTACTTACCTTTACTACAGCCATGGCTTACATTACTTAATTGGCACTAAGAACATGACTAACATAAGCTGTTGCTGTAGAGCATCTGTGGCAGAACTGCACGCTTGTGACTCGCTCTCTTACCTGCGAAGCAAAGTGTGGTGTGGCATTGAACACACTCTACACGCCTGAAACAATCGATGAGCTAGTTTTGTTGTTTTACAAAACTAAAGCGGGACTGCCTTCTGATAACCCTTAGGGCATGAAAATGATAATGGGCCTTTTGCTTAGGTCTCGTCTTGCTCCTAGCTGACTGTTCGGCAGCTAAAGTTGTTAAACCGATTTAACTTAGCAGTGCAATCTGACCAAGATGACATAATCATAATCAAGCTCTTCTTCAAATCGAGAATTTGTTACCTGATCTATTTTTAAATCAACTTGCCATATTTCTGGTTTCGCCTAGAGACTTCAGAAACGAATGAAGGTCTGACTCTCTAAGACTTGAGGCTAATATTGTCATAACGCTGTTTATGAAATGATGATAAAGAATTTTTGTAATAAAATTAAAATTTATTAAATGCCTTTACCGTTCCCAATGCCTCATCAGACAAGCAAGAAAAAAAATTGCTGAATTTCTTGCCAGTGTAGAATCGCTGTGAACCCTACTTTAAATGACAAATAAAGCTTTTAAATTCTGCATGCTTGCTTACTTACTTAACTTAAGCAACTGCATTTTATGTAACTGTGCGGTATAATGTTAAGTAAATGATATAGATTATCATGACTGGGACCTTCCACTCTCTTAATGGTCGACAAATATAAAGCCTTTGTAGAAATACACACATCTTCCAATATTTGAAATTTTTCACAATATATAATCGATTCAAATAATAATAATAAATAATATTTATCCAAATATTTATCCAGACAAATGTTGATGTCTATCTTCTCGATCCTAAGCAGCAAAACAGAGAAGCAGAATAATATCGGAAATGGCAATGATCCGTGCTCCAAAATTCTTTTTAGCAATAGCAGTTCCTCAAAATCACCGATAGTGCTCTCAACGGTGAGCAGTAAAACATCTAACGGCTCAGGCAACAGCCGGTGCACAACTCAGAAGTACAGTGTTACAGTAACGACCATGTTGTGATCAAGTGCAAAAGTCGAAGTAAAGAACATACTATTCTTTTATGCAAAGTAAATTGCTAGACAACTGGTTGAGGCAAAACAGAAAAGCGTTAGAATAGCGGATAAGAAATGGCATTGACGTGTACTCGAAAATGCTGTTTAGCAAAGGAAGCTGCACAACCAAAAACAATTCTCACAAACGATAAGAACGGCTTAAGCAACAACCGCTGGACAACTCATAAGTAGAGTGTTATATTGCAGTAACGATCTCGGCACCGTTGGACATCAAACTGCTAATGTTGCGCCCAGTTATGCATATACACACATGAGCTTCTTACATAATTTAAGGGCAGTTGACTTTGATTTTATATTAATTTCCACAAATAAAACAGTTTGTCCTGACTGACTGGCGCACACCCCAAACCGTAAAAGCTAGGAAGTTAAAATCACTATAGTTACCTTATGTTGTGAAGTTGCACGCTAAGACGGGGTTTTGAGAAATTCCACCCGCAAGTGAGGAAAAAAAAAGATACAATTAAAATATTCCACAGACAGCCAGACAGCAGAAGAAATAAACTAGACAAGTACTTCCGCTTTTGCCGAGCCAATTTAAATGCCATTTTTGCCAAGCAATTATTAATTTCCCGCAATTTTTTAAGACCATGTCCCTGTTTGGGTGCCGAGTCAATCTAGCCATGTCCATCTGTCCGTATGTATGAAATGAAAATAACAATTTTGAACGTAGGACCTCTTAGTGCCCGCGCAGTGAGAGTCTGTTTCCGATAATCGATAACTCTCCCCGTTCCCAAGCAATCGATTAATACCGATATCAAAATCCTGTTTTTGAGCAAACCATTAGGTTTTGCGAGCTAGAGTCACCAAACATGACATGTAAATTCTAAACCTCAGAATTTTACTGAAAATGAGGATACGTAGTTTTCTTCAATTTAGGCGTAAGATTAAAATTGGCATCACTGTAACTGATGGATAGCAGTTTGCTGGTACAACCTTTCTTAGTTAGACTTCAGGTTGATGAGAGGCCTAAATATAGAAGGCTCTAGGGTCTTTTTTGCAAACGAAAATACCGCACAGTTCCTGGCAAACCCATGAAGGAGCGCTCTTATCGCGCGGTTTTAATGGACATCACTATACAAATTTTGAATAAACTATAAACTTTGTAGCGAATCTTGACAAAATTTTAAATTTCAATAGTCAATCTGATGGATCCGCTCTTGCTCTATAATTCCTTGAAACCCCTAATTTAGAATAACTCAATGCTCCTGAAACAGAGCTAGTCCTCATCGGATCCAGCTAGATGTTATCCTGCTCTGAGACACGCTATAAGACCTACTTTAGTATTCTGGGAACCGCCTGGACCTGCCAGCAGTCCGTGTAGCCAGCGATCAAGGTAAAGTAGTACTAGCGGCGATCTACAGTCCCCCAAATTATCGGTGGATGCATACCTTCACTTTCAGAGTCTTTTCGATAAATTTAATACGAATTTCCTTATTGCTGACTGCTTGTATGCTCACCATTAACCCATTGCTGTAAAAAGGTTCACCCAAAGGGGCCTAGTACTACCCGATTATATAGCCAACTCAAGGTTGAAGGTTTTAGCAATTTCTTTATTTCCCATGGCTAAAGGTAGGTAGGGCAGAGACATTACAGTACATTATGGACTACCGTCAAGTAGCCTCGCTATCAATGAAAACATTAAGTAAAGCTCATATCATACCTGGTGATTGATGATTGGTTATAGAGTTGCAGCTTACACAATGAAAATTCAGATCCAGCTTCTCCCTAAGCATGCGAACAAAACCCGGTATCTTAATATGAACGATGCAACAGAGCTGTTGGTGTGTAACATTTATGATGCTCTCGCATTTTCAACATCATTATTGTGCTGTCAGCACAAGCCTGAACTTAGTGAGCGTAAAGCTCTATATATTATATATATAAAACTGTTTGTAATGACTGATTGAATGTCTGATTGGTGACCAATTGAGAAATTCCACCCGAAAGTGTAAAACAATGGCGAAAAACGAAGCTCCCTCGCTTCAAAATCACTTCAAAGAAATGAAAATTAATTGAATTGTGTAGCACACTTAACACAAAATCTATCCTTCTTGGATAATAATTGCGGGTAAAAAGTTAAATGAGCGACGTTTCGAGTTTTGTGTGCTTAGCTACTGTGGTCTTAACCACTTTGTAAAATTATCTTAAAATATTTTACGTTGTTCTGTTAAGACATTATCCTTTCCTGCCATATGAAAGTAAAAATTTATCATTCCTCTTCATAAAAAGAATATAACTCAAATAGCGATAACTATAAAAGTCTTTCTAAATTGTCTGCTTTTCTAAAGACTTTCAGAGAATCATAAGATCCTAGATATTAACTTTGCTTTCCTAGTATTTGCTGAGCTTAAAAAGTAAATTAAAACTAACTTCTTTCTATTGATTTTAGTAAAGCTTCGAATCAGTGCATTATTCCTTGGTTTCTTCAAAAGTTATTGCTTCTCGTCTTCCCAGTTAATCTTTTTAAGGAGCATTTTCGACATTCATATTTTAATTGCATTCGGGTTAATTCTGAGATCCCCAAGGAAGTAATCTTCGACTGCTACTCTTTAATCATTCATTAATTTCACCCGGTATTGTCTTACTGTAATTCCTTGGTTTTGGTTCGATCCTTGGGTTTCACATTTTTTACATTTTGAAATAGGACAATCTCTATATATAAAACTGTTTGTCCTGACTGACTGACTGACTGACTGACTGGTGATCAACGCACAGCCCAAACCGTAAGAGCTAGGAAGCTGAAATTTTCACTGTAGTTACCTCATGTGATGTAGGTGCACGTTAAGACGGGGTTTCGAGAAATTCCACCCGCAAGTGTGGAAAAATCGCGAAAAACGTTTGTATGTAACTTTTTTGTTTACCATCGGATTGGCCTCAAACTTATTTTCAAAGATCTTTGTTCAAATTCATTTGAGGGGTGTTTCACACTTTTCAAAAATACGTTCCTCCTTGGTGGAAATGGAGGTCAAAGATTTGGTGGGTGACGTTTCGCGCTCAAATTCATTTCCAGAGATCTATAAGAAAAATCATTTGAGACGTTTTTCACACTTTTCGCAGAATTCAAACTTTTTCGGGAGGAATGCGATTTAAAGATTTTTTGTGCGAAGTTTTAAGTTGCGTCCAATTTGCTTCAAACTTATTTTCAAAGCTCTACATAAGAACTTAATAAATACGTATTTCCGCGATTTGGGAAATTCCACTCGCAACATTGGTAAATTGGCGGAAAACGTTTCTCTGAAAATTGTTTGTTTACCGTCCGATAAGTTTCAAAATCATTTTCAAAGCTTTTTGAGAACGTTGATTTTTAACATACGTTCCACGGGCAAGGCCGGGTTATACCCGCTAGTTAATTATAAATTCTATTTGTTGCGTATTGTATTATTTATTCGTAAGCTTACCATAAAAAAAAGGTCTTCCTCATGTATAACGTGATACTCTTTTTCCTCTGATATCGATGCATTAAGCGATGATGTTGCTCCAAGTTCCGCTTGGACTTGTGAAAGAGAATGTTCATTTATGCCGCAATTTAAATTTGATTCAAGAAATTCGTTCGATTCAAAATCTAAAATATTACTGATATCAAAACTTTTTTTCTTTATTTCAGTTATTTTACTGTTGCTGTGCGTGTTGACATCTTTTACTGCGTCGGCCATAAGATTATTAATATGATACAGCGTTTCGTCATTATTATGGTCAAAATTTCGTACTGGTGTGCTAACAGCTTTTTTTAACTCGTAGAAATTATTATCTTTTGACTTTAAATCTTTATCGTTAGCAATATATGCAATTAGTTGTGCTAATGCATCCGCTGAATCAAAACATGTTTTTAAATGCATATCATGAATTGAAGATCTCAGGTCAATCTTTGCGTATGATTTACTCTTCTCATTAAGATGTATAGAAAAATTAAGTAATCCAACATTCAAAACAGGTACTAAGCCAGTATCACTAATGTGAGTCATAAACTCCTCAACGTTGTTGGCAGCTTTAGCCTATAAAAAACGCATAAAGAAAGAAAATTATTAAAATTGTTTAATGCTAGTATTTCGATAATGCAATATTTGTAATTTTCTTTTATTATATTTTATATGATCGCTTTATATATTGACCAGTAACGTTTAACTATGAAAGTACAAGTGAAAATTTCCGAAACCTATTTGGTTCGACTCACAGCCCAGTATGTTTACACAACATCACAAGTCTGGAAACAATGTAGTATGCAAATGTATTTTAACAAAGATAAGCAAGAACCGAACGAAACAGAAAAGGAATAATTCATGTTGTGCATGAAGGAGCAGAACAGAAAATTCAATAAGGCTAAAGAAAGAAACTTTGTCAATAGCAGCAACGTATAGTGCTCATTTAATAACAGCTAAATACTTTATACTTCGTCTGGTTAACGCCTTTAAACGATCAATGTAACTTCGAGCACAATTGTTATGACAGGATAGTGTTAGAAATGTGCATACGTTTAGAGAGGTAAAAATAATAAAAAAATTGCTTTATGTAAGAGTATCTGGAAGTCATCCAATATCAGACTTAAATGGAAGCAACAACTTGAGCTTATAAGGAAGACAACTCTTGCTCTGTTGAGATGCAGAACACCATCTAGTAGAACATGGGGGCAACTCTGAACACAATTATTTGGTTGTATGTGGCAACAGTAATATTGGTACTGAGGCGGAATGAGTCGTCACGGGCAAATACTAGCAGTAAGCACATTTTGAGTAAGAGGCTGATTTCATTTTCCAAAAGTACTTTAAAACAGAGCTAAGTATGAAGATTTACTAAATCTACAATGTGAAAGTACAGGACACTGGGTGTTACAATTGTTTGCGTACAGAAGAGTAAGCGAAAGCTGCCATCGGCGGACCCGTTAATCTGGAAAAATGCAATCATGTGCAACCTAAGCAGAAACTACGCTCATAGTGATAAAGCAGTCTCCTTAGACAGTAAGGCAGCGATCAAAGAGGCAGTGCGTCGAGACCCTCAATTCGATTAGCAAAGTAAACATATATTGGGTGGCACGCTATAATGGGATTCTAATAAACGAGTCAAATAATTCATGAAGAAATGCAGCGAGCAAATATGGCATTTATCCCAGCGCACAAAGTATTCCTGGTGTCACTTCACAAGAAACCAACGAATGTCAGAACTTGACCAAAAACTGACTTCGCAGGCACCTGTGAAAACTGAAAATTGTAGATAATGACACGAGCAGACTTTGCCTTATACCAAAATAACACCATTATTCATAGCGATGTGGTTTGGGTTTGTCACTGAGGAGGTGACAACTGTTGGACCGAGTTGCATTTTGTTAGCTCCCTTGGGCGCTGATTCAACATTGAGCATTTTTGAGCATTGAGCATTTTAATGTTGAGCTAGGCCTCGCCATCCGCTTAAACAAATAAGTGTCTGCAGAAAATACTTCATCGATAGCCTCCTAGTGGACAGCTGCGGTGCCCCCGCATTGCTGAAAAAATCATGCTGAAACTCGTAGCAATTTGGTGTAGGTGGAAAAACAATAAATGCTTCACGAACCCATGCTAGGATGGTGAAATAATAGAGCTACACAAATGTTGCAATTGAGATGTTATCATTTTTGACATCGGATTTACTCCCATTAAAGAAAAATTTGTAAAATAGGTGCAGAGGAATGAGGAATCTGAGATGGCCAGTCTTAGCCAGGTCTCAGTGAAAGCGATAATATGAAAATTTAAGACAAAAGAATCTAAGTACAGGCTAACAAGTTTAGATTAAAGACCTCCAACGTTCTCATAGGCAAGGTCAAGATAACAATTTAAATTTTTGACGCAGCAACTAAAGTTGACGCGCTACTAGATGTAAGTGGTAAGAAAATCGGAATCCGATTTTTCTTCTTGGCCTTGTATTCTTTAACTCGTAACTGTTCCGGCTAAAACTGTGGAACAGATTTCTGTAAATATTTCAATCGGAACACATATTATAAAGGATGAAAAGTCTAACAGTCGAACTGGCTAATCTACAGATATTCAAATTATTTATGTACACGTGCACATAGAACCGACTATGAATGCTGAGAAAGAACTAAGAACTTAGCATTTCAGAATTTATACATAATTATACAATATTCTGGAATTTAATTTAATTCCATTATTTGTTTATTAAATACAAAATATATTTACCCTTTCTTCTTAGATGGCAACTCAGAAGGCACTCCGAAAAAACAGCATGAAATCGCCCTTGAGAAAGTCGTTTTTGAAATCAGGGTATAAAAATATATTTAAAATCGGTATAGACTGGAGTCACACAGCACAGCCGCACTTCCAAGATAAACACTTTACAAATGAAACACGAAATGCAAAAGCACAAAGGTGGGATAGAGATTACATACCCCACAGACCACAGGTCCTAAATGGCAGTGAACGAGTGACTCAATAATTAACGACCGCCTAAAACGTGTCATCATTTGAGAGTTGGAATTTAATTAATTAATTAATTAATTAATGAAAAATAAATGTTTAATATACACAAAATCTTATTAAAGGCAACCTCTCATCGCAGTGAGAGGCATTTCGTAAGACATATTTCAAAGAACTACGAGTAGCGTAACATAATTTTTGTTATATGTTTTGGGGGTGTCGGGTGAGTTTTTAAAGTGTGCTTTCCAAGAATTTATGAACGCTAACAGAACGCACGACAGAAATCCACTTAGTTTTAAGAATTTATATACCCAATCCTTGTAGTGAACTTGGGCCAATGAAAAATGGCGTCGTCACACTTGTCTAAGCGGTATTACATTTTTTAAGTAGAACAGTAACGGCAGGAATTTTCTGACCATGCATTTTTTTATTATTTTTCTTTAATTCATTCGGCTGTTAGCCTGCTAACTTTATCCGAGGCTCATCGTTTCCGCCCGTAGTCAAAGAGAGAGAGAGAGAGAGAGAGATAGTTTTATTTCCTACTGACAGAGCCTTTAATGGGCCGCCCACCAGTAAGTGGTTAGATCTTCGCCGTCGCTGAAAGTTCTCGCTTTGAGCTTGCAGCTTTCAAAACTGGCGACTTGCTACGACAAAATTCGACGTGTTTTCGCTGAATGGGCCACAAAAATTGTCGTCAAAGCTTTTTATTTCAAAACAAGGAATGCTAGATCTCTTTGTGTGAACTCAGACCTCTTGAGAGATATCTACCAAAATTCATTTACGATGACTGACGAGTGCTCTTTGGCCAGCATGATAATTTATCAAATGCAGATGTCAAATAAAGTTTTGCTTGATAAAGAATATAAGCATTTGCATTGCGTCACCTTTCGCGTTAAAACGAAAAAGAGCACCAAGCTTCATTATACTTATGTATAAATGGATTTTGACACTTCAGCCCATGACAATGACTTTTAAACCATACCTATGACATCTTTAAATCGTTGAACGCCTTTAACTATTTTTTTAATTTCGCGTGGTACAAAAAACATACAAACTAAGAATTTAGACTATCTAGTTGCTAAAAAACTTAAAAAACTTAAAATATACTATACTTATTTCATGTTGACACTATAATTGCGTTTATACAACATGGAACATTTATTGCTATTTTTTATAATGTACTTACTGTTTGGCCAATTGACAGAACGCAATCTTCACTTATCAGTCGTAAAGTACATCCGGTCATAGGATATATAATGTTGCTACTAAATGAACAATACCCAATGTGAAGTAATGCCCGATAAGATAAGTATTTTGGCCTGCAATTTTAAATAAAAAGACAAAATATCAGTTATTATATTTTGTATCTAAATTGCAGATAATCAATCTATATGATTTTTTGAAGAAAAAAATACTTTTTATTAGCACTAAACTTTAGACGGTATATGATAACGCGACTCGTCAAGTTAAATGTTGGAAGCAAAAACAAAAACACGTTTACAAAGTGATACATCGAACTCGATCATGTAAAACACTAAGTTATCGATTATGCAAGTACACTTGTAGTATGTTTGTCAGGTGGTTTCAATTATAAAAATCGCTCTAATAGCTACTCAAAACATTACTCGGACACAAACTATATTTATCCGCATAATTTGAATTTCCTCCGCATCTTAGGCAATTTTCAGTTACAGTTATGTTTCCCCCAATTGCTCCCCCCATTTTCCGCGTTGCCGCATTATCGATACACTGTGATCAAGTAAACAAGAAAATCCAAGTCACTTGTTTTTTTATTTTCATTAATCCTATGGCAAAGGAAAGCCAAATGCAAGCATTTGGTGTTGATAGAAGAAGGTTCGGGGCATCCCTTTGTCGAGCACTCCAGAGCATTCTTACGTGCTTCTTTAACAATTTAGCAGTACTTAACTGAGCTTGCGGTGAGATGCAATTTTTTTTTAAGTTTTGTCCGATTGGCTTCAATCTTATTTCCAAAACTTTACATAAGAAACTAATGAACACGTATTTTATCGATTTTGGAAATTCAATCCGCAACTATGAAAATTTGGCGGAAACCGGTCTTATGGATTTTTTTTATCATCCGATCGACTTTATACTCAATTTCAAAGATCTTTGTGAGAATTAATGTGATAATTATTCACATAATTGACCGCTCTTGGATGGACAATGTGGGTCAAAGGTTTAATGAACGAAAGATTATTTTGTGGCCCGAAAATTCTTACCACAAGAAAACAGTTGATTCCTTTTTGTTTTTGTTCTTTATTCGATGGACTTTGAACATATTTTCAAATAGTTGAGAAGTTGACGAGAGCACGGGTAGACTTAAATTTTCCACGGGTGGAAACTAGGTGAAAAACTTATATCTTTAAATTTAAGCATAATTGCCACACACAAGGCCTGGAAATACGCTAGTAATATATAATATTAATGAGTCGCCTAAAAGCATTTTAGGATGTTGTTGCACTATTATAAACATAACGCATACAGATATATATTATACTAGCGGGTATAACCCGGCCTTGCCCGTGGCCCTTATAAAATCAATGTGTTTAAAAAACTTTGCAAATGATCGGACGGGAATCAAACAACTTAAATGCAAATCGGACAAAACTTAAAATTCACCAAAAAAATCTTTGAAAGGCATTTTTCACCGAAGGAGTTTAGATTTAGCGAAAAATGTGAAACACGTCATAAATGATTTTTCTTATAGATCTCTGGAAATTAATTTGAGCGCAAAACGTCACCCACCAAATCTTTGACCTCCATTTCCACCAAGGAGGAGCGGATTTTTCGAAAAGTGTGAAACACCCCTCAAATGAAATTTGAACAAAGATCTTTGAAAATAGGTTAGGTTAACATACAACCGTTTTCCGCCAATTATCTACTGTTGCGGGTGGAATTTCCCAAATCGTCGAAATACGTATTCATTAAGTTCTTATTGAGAGCTTTGAAAATAAGTTTGGAGCAAATCGGACACAACTTAAAACTTCGCACAAAAAATCTTTGAATCGCATTCCCCCCGAAGAAGTTTGAATTCTGCGAAAAGTGTGAAACACGTCTCAAATGATTTTCCTTATAGATCTCTGGAAATGAATTTGAGCGCGAAACGTCACCCACCAAATCCTTGACCTCCATTTCCACCAAGGAGGAATGGATTTACCTAAAAGTGTGAAACACCCCTCAAATGAATTTGAACAAAGATCTTTGAAAATAAGTTTGAGGCCGATCGGATGGTAAACAAAAAAGTTACATACAAACGTTTTTCGCGATTTTTCCACACTTGCGGGTGGAATTTCCCGAAACCCCGTCTTAACGTGCACCTACATCACATAAGGTAACTGCAGTGAAAATTTCAGCTTCCTAGCTCTTACGGTTTAGGCTGTGCGTTGATCAGCAATCAGTCAGTCAGTCAGTCAGGACAAACAGTTTTATATATAGAGATTATAATTCTGTGTGAAATCAATTTTTAAAACTCAACAACGTAGTTAAGATGCTCTCGAATAACTTTGACTCAAGTGTCGAGTTGCTTAGCAAATATTAATTTGACTCTACTCCTAATCGCCCGTTTGAGTCTCAATTTTTGGATTTGCCCTCTACATTTTTGCATTTTTGCATTTTTTCATTTTTGCATTTTTTTCAAATTAAAATGGACACCTAATCTTTACTCTTTTTATAAACAACCTCCCCTCTGTTATATCACATGCCCATGTACATATGTATGCAGACGATGTGAAACTTATTCTTTCATACATTGATCCCCTACACCAAGATGATTTGAACGCTATGCAACTTTGGTGTTCGGTCAATCAATTGCATCTAAATTGTTCAAAGGGTATGTTTACTACCTTAAATCGTAATACACCGTATCTTGTCAATTATACAGTTGACAATTGCAACGTACACCAACAGTTTAGGACCTAGGGGTTCATTTTAATTCTAAGCTCGGCTTCAATCTTCATATAGCTATTATCGTTAATGACGCCAAAGGTCTACTTGAATTCATTGAACGTTGGTTTAAGAAGTTTAATGATCCTTTTATAACCAAACTTCTATACATTTCACTGGTACGCCCTATATAATATTAGGATCGTATTGAGGCAGTTCAGAAGCAATTTCCGCTTTTTGCCTTACGAGGTTTATATTGGGACTTCACTCTTTGTTTGCCATCATACTCCGGCAGGCTTCTTCTTGATCTTCCGTCGTTAACCAACCGTAGGACAATCCTCGGTTTTGTATTCCTACAAAAGTTGATTGCTGGCGACAAAGATTCTTCTTTCTTGTTAGGGCGTCTTCATTTCTCATTATTCCTAACTACGTGCACAACAGATTACGCTATGCACAATTCTCTTCGTGCGTTATGCAAATATTACAATATTTTGTACAACGTATTCTTCACCGAACTTTCTTTTCCCCTAATAAAATCGTTGCTTTCAGGATTTGTCGGAAACTCACTGACCATTCCCAGCTCAGGGTAGGAGCATAGCTTGAAAAAAATATTTATTTTTTTTAATTTTATTTGTATAAAATATAATTGTACTCATGCATTATGCATCCTAAATGACAAACTAAAAAAGTCGTGGTACATATATTAAGAACTTGTATATTTTGGCATGTTCTGTTCGCTTTTTCCCTTCGGCTTGTCGTCTTTTTAACAATGTTATGATTACATTTTGTGAGGTCATTTTTCGTCAAGAGTTTGTTAATTTCATGTTCAATTTCTTTGTGGTATATTGTATCCGATATGTTATTCATTCTTTTCATACAGCCTAGTGCTGTATTGATAATAATACCCATTGGGTGGTTTGAAATGGAGTTGAGTATTCGTCCGAAAGCTATGGGTTTCTTATACCACATTATTTTGAGTGTGTTGTCAAATCTGCTTACTATAGAGTCAAAAAATGGTAATTACCCGCCCTTTTCTAATTCCATGGTAAATTTAATATATTTGTTTAAGGAATTGAATTCTTGTAGAATTGTATATACATCTGTTTTGTCCGTTGTGGCAAAAAGGTCATCTATATATTTAGTCAAAAGTCTTGGTTTTAATGTTAATTTATCTGTAATATTGTCCAACAGTTCCTCCATTACTATATCTGCGATTACTGGGGAGGCCGGTGATCCCATTGGCATTTCTTTTAGTTGTGTGTATATCTTGTTTTCGCATTTAAAATAACGGTATACTTGTGTTTTGGTATACTTGTGTGTTCTTATAATTTTGTCAATTTTTGTCTTATTGTGTCAAGTGCTAATTCCGTTGGTATGCTGGGAAACAATGATACTACGTCAAAGGATACTAATGTTACGTCTTCTCTAATGTGGGAATTGTTAACTCTGTCTTTAAGATAAACCGCGTTCCTGATGTTGTACCTTGAGTCCATTGTCAGATTTTTTAATATATTTATCATGTTTTTGCACAGCCCGTAAGACGGAAATCTGATATTTCCTCGGAGGTACCACTGTTGTTGTAGTCATCTTATTTTTTTCGTCCTTTGAAATACGACCCATCCTGAATAATTGTTCCACCAAGTTGTTATTCCTTGTCTGTAGTCTTGATGTCGGATTCTATCCTAGTGTTCTATACGCGCAAAAGTCGTCTTGACCTTGACTTCCTCTTTGGGCATTGGGCCACCAGGTGATTCGTTGCACCACAACCGTAACATAAACCATGTTCTCTTTTTGGCTTCAGATAGTATTTTGACCAGTGCCCCTTAAAGTTGCAGGTGAAACAGCGCGAGTCTCCATTCCTGATGACATTCGTGACTATCTTTGGTCCGCCTGTTTTGATAGTCCCGCTTTGCTCCGGCAGCAGCACACCAGCGAACGCCCGAAGCATATTCAAAATTGTGGAGGTTTGCTTGTATATGCAAAATTTCCGGTGGAATGCCTTCAATGAGGCCATCAAAAAGCTCCTCGTTGTCCATGTTCAGATTTCAAGCCAATATTGACTTGGCGTCGAAGTACAACGCAAATTTTTCGCCACACTGCCAATTAAGCGCATCAAAAGAGAGAGTTCTCAGTAGAGAGTGATTGACGTGTTTTACTTGTGCTCCAAGATTTCTGTATTTATATTTTTGCGCTTTAATCCTGCTTTTTATACCTTGAACACATTGAAAATGGGTAAAAAGTGTATAATGTATTTGTGCAAATGTAAGTACAAGGCAGGAGGAAGCATCTCCGACCCCATAAAGTATATATATTCTTGATCAGCATCAACAGCCGTCTGCCTGTCCGTCTGTCCGTCCGTCCGTATGTATGAACGCAAGGATCTCTAAACCTATAATGGCTGGAGACTTAAAATTTT